GCTAATGTAGCGCGCACCGTTTTTGCGCGTGTAGAAGGGGGTTTAAATAATCGAAGCTGGGAAGAGGGAAAAAAAAAAAAAAAAAAAAAAAAAAAACAACGAAAGAAACTATTTATTTATTTTTTTTTCTCCTGTTCTCACCTTAACATTCTTGTCTCTCTCAGGTTATGACGGAGCTGAGCTGAATATGGAGCTTTTCTGGATTGTCTTGTTTTCCAGTGCGCATCCTCTTGTTTGGGGGCAAGGAGTTTACGGTAAGAGGACGATGACAATTTATTTCCTCATTATCCAGACTGCAGCCTCCTTCCATGCTTGGCAAGTTCAGACCGACCTAGCCACGCTGTGTTGGTGATGAGAATTAGTTCATTTTTTTTTAACTCTCCGAAGAATCTTTATAGCTCACATGTCAGCATGACACCCTAATAGGCTCACAATAACGGCCTTTAAGCTACTGCCAGAACAGTTCCAGGTGGACAGACTGCCACTTATCCTGAAGAGAACATTTATTTGGTAGAAAAGCTGCAGAACATCTAACAGTGTAACTATAATTTAACCTTCCTATTGCCTGAAATCAGTTCTGTTCTGGATGTGTTTTTAGAATCTAAATCATGCATTTAAAGAAGTGGCTGAGTTATGGAGTTACTTTTTTTTTTTTTTTTTTGCTTCACTAAACAAATTTTCAAACTCCAGCTCTCTGAAAATTTTTGTCATCAAAAATTCCCATGCTTAGCGAATCAGCTGCTCACACACCCACACACCCCGAGAAGGTTTTGAAGGCGAGGATAAGCATGGCAAAGCTCTCTGGGATGCGGCTCGTCTCTTGTCAGGTTAAACAGGACAGTCACTCCGCGCTTTTGAGGATAAGGCCTCAGATTTGTGCCCTCTCAAGACTGCAGCCTCACTGTGTATTACAGAGGCTCAGTTTCCCGAGCTTACAGGCGCCTGGCCAGACATGCCTCCTCCTGTCCCTCTGGGCAAGGCGGACACGCAAAACTCATCTGTCTGCTTTGATACGTTGATTTTTGACGTTTGGCGAAATGTGGCAGCCATTGGAAACAAGCTCTGTTTTGTCACAGTTGCACAGAGTGCGCTTGTCACATACAATCCCGCATCCCGCCGTCACGCTGAGAGACGCTGACAGTCTTTGATTTGCAGAAGCATGTAAGGCCTGTGTAAAAGTCCTTGCTAAGTAATCAGGTTTGCACGAGTCTGATACTTCACAGTCCTGCTGACTAATCAATATCAGTGTAAAGTACAAACAACCTAGACGGTTCGCAGATCTCTTCGTGGTTTATTTAATGCAGCATGAGTTGCATGTTTTTTTTGGGGGGGAATCCTCCTTTACAGCCTTGGATGTTTTGTAGTCCTCGACAGCAGAAATGTCAGTGTTAATGCAGCGAGACAGCTCTGGATGTATTCTTCAAAAGTCTTTCAGTTTCACTGGAAATGTCAAACTTTGCTAGGGAAAAAAAAAATTGAGCTGTACTTATGTGAAATACACAGCTCTGTATGCTTTTACGGAGTGACAAACAGTTTCTGCTTGTTCAAAACCCTTTCAGCACATGTTGTAGGATATATGTTAAGAACATATAGGATCCTGGATGAAGCTTACTCTCAGTACGAACCGTTTGATTAGTTGTTTCCCATCGGTTTGATCTTGTGCTTTTTGTCCTCATTGTTTCCCCTCTCTGTTGTGTAAAATTGTTTTAAGTTGGCTTCAGGCTCATTCGCAGTTTGCTAATATTTGTCCATCATGAATTCTGTTAGAAGCACGCGTTCGATTGAAGAGGGTTCACAGGTTTTGTTGTGCAGCCTTCCCCGCAGTGTGTTTGGACGAATGTGTTGTCAGTCCATGCTTGTGTGAATCTGTGCATGCAGGTGTTTGTGTATCAAAGCGTGGATCGGTCACTGTGGTGTGTGTATACTCAGTAAAATAAACTTGCTGCATAAGCATAAGTTAAAAATAGTAATAAATCACATATGTAGTTTCTTTTTTTATTGACGTACTTGTGTCGTAATGGGAAACATCCGGGTTAGATCAACATCATCGCTAAGAGTCGTTTTAGTTTTAGTTTTAACAAGGCCGGATCAGTGTCATTTCAACTGGGGAAATTAAAATCATTTTCATTAATCAAAAGGTTATTAAGTAAATGTTACTTTGTTTCACTTTTAAAATTAAACATAATTCTCACTATTAAATTGCCAGCAGGATAGCCCAGTGAATGTAAACAGTTTTCTTAAGTTAGATTAAGGCTTCCATGGTTGCTTTACATTTTTATCACAAAAAATGTAAAGCAAATGCATAGCATGATGTGATTGTTTTAATTAAAAAGTTCTACTGATACTTGTATAATGTGACATGTTGCTTTAAAAGTACAATATAATAATAATACTACGAGCTACATTTAGTAGTATTTTATAGAGGTTTTTGTGCAGAATCCCAGCATGCTTTCCTTATCATGATAATAAAAAAAAGAAGTTAATCCTTTAGTTTGCAAATCATGACAGTTTGTGTTATTTCATGACAAGATACATGTCCTAACAGAAGACAGTCAAGATGAAAGTCTTATTTCAGCCAGCACACTGGCAGTGCTCAGTACTCTATGCTTGTTATAGCCACAGCTAACTGCTATCTCTCCAACACCTTTTCTCATTAACACAACATCAAATTCTAAAATTGTTAAAGCCACTCATATGTGCCTTTTTTTGTGCATATTTTGTGAAAAGTATATACGTACTTGGGCATGATTCAGTTCTGCGCACCTGGGCCCCTTTAGTCACTGCCAAGGGAAGAGAAGCCCTGGGGCTTTGTGAGAATGTACTGGCCGGCATTCACAGGAACCAATCTCCCAGGTGGATCACGTGGGACCGGACGTGGCGGTGCTCAGCTGTGCATATACCTGCGCAGCACCTTTCTTGTGCGTTGGTAAAACTTGACGACCAGGAGGACTCATTCGAAGAAAGCAGTCGGTCTCACAATCTGCACAAATATGGTAAACAACACAAGTTGGGAGGAACGGGGAAGAGAGCCAACGAGTTTGGCACGCTGCACGCACATATGCATAAAATGCTTTCCATCACTTTGGAATTGTTTAGCACTTGCTTTAGCAGACAGATGCGACTCAGCGCCCGTCGGGAACCGAACGGCGAAGTGTGCCTGATTGATGTCGGCGGTTTGGACGCCTGTGAGGTTCATTTACTGTAGCCTTCTCCAGGGTGTGTTTGGATGCGTGTGTTGTTGTCAGTCCGTGCTTGTGTGAATCTGTGCATGCAGGTGTTCGTGCATCAAAGTGTGGGAAGTGTCCAAGCCTCTAAACCTCGAAGTTTGTGTCTGTGTGTGTGTGTGTGCGTGTGTGTGCATTGCCGTGCGAGAGCCTGAGTGGGACGTGTTTGTCTGCGGCAGCCACACTTTTCTTCACTTTGCAACAGTTTGCTGGCTCAGCAGGGACTCATGGATCGGTCACTGTTTTTCTTGCAGCAGTTCGGTATTGATTGCTCTTCTCTGAATTCTGATAGGTTGTCAGAAAGCTTGTAACACCTGTCTGTCAGATTGCAAATGGACAGGTACCAAGGAAGTGTGATGCTTTATTTCATGGAGGGGGGCGGAGGGGAAGCTGCATACCATATGTTTCTTCAAATCCCGGTTTGTTGAGGCTGATAGGATCATCTATAATGTCTTGTTTATTACCATATTTTCACTGTTTTCTCTCTGGGACAAGCTCTTTATATGCATCTCCACACATCCGTCCCTGCATACATATAACGCGATTTTCAATTTAGTCTGGATACACTGCAGTCTGGGGGCATTCCAAGTTTGATGTGGCATGCATTCACATGCAACAAATTGCAACACGCTGTAGCAGAAAGGGAGGTTTGGAAAATGTCAGGACAATCTTGAATGATGTTCATCCTTCACAGAGCCACTGAACACAGACAGAGTGTACCAGAAAAAAAAAAAAAAAGTGTCTTTCCATCTCCATGGCACTGCGTCACATCTTATCTTACTGTGCGAGGCAGCAGAGTTCACAGAGACACCAAATTATTGATTGCTTGACAAAGTCACACAGCGCCATTAGCTGCTGCTGTAGATGGAATCCAGACTGCATTAGCCTGCAATACGATGCTTCATTATGTGCTTGTTAACAGGAAATTTAATGAACTTAAATCAATGACTTTGCTTAACAGGGTTTTTTTTTTTTTTTTTTTTTTTTTAAGTAGGGCTGTAGCAGCAGTAGCAGAGGAGGAGAGGCCTTGCCCTTGGCCATAAAGCAAAACACTGTAAGAGATGCAAAAACTGAAAAAGTTTAATGTACCTAAATTGCACACTAATTTAATATCACTTTGAAGATGTCGCCTGAGGAAAATTTGAATGCTTGGCATACATTTTTAATCCAGTTTTTATTTATTTATTTTTACCAACTCTATCTGTGCATACATGTGTGGCTGTGTGTATTTGCGTTCCTGTTAGTCAGGAGGTTTATTCGCTGCAGTCAATGATGAGAAAGTTATTGCAGTTACTACAATTCTGAGTTAAAAGTTGAAAGGAGTTGAGTCCAGTTTATCTCTATCAGAGATTTATTACACTCTATTGTTGCTTCAGTTCGTATACACCCCCCTTTATTAGCTGTTCAGTTGCTTAACACAAATCAACCAATCACATGGTAGAAAGTTATTGCATTTAGCCATCTAGATTTGGTAAAGAAATTGTTCAAAACAAGAATCAGAATGGGGATAGAGTGGAAGTGATTTAGAGTGTTGCATTGTAGATGGTGTGATTATTTCAGAAATTGGACCTTATATTAATAGTTTAGACTGCTGTTGATTATGCAATAAAGTGGGGGATATCTTCTAGGCACACTTTGGGCTCTTTAGTTCCACACCACCCTTCTTGAATATTAGTGCTTATTATATCCTTATCCATTTCCCGAGAGTTACCATCCTCCAACTTCTGGATGTGCTACATCTTGTTGAATGTGTTACAAACAGAATCAAGGCAGCTCTTAAAAAGGGAAAGCATACCAGTAGTAGGAAGTTACATCTAATAAAGTGCCTGGCGGTGAGTGTGTCATTTTCTATTTTGAATGGAATAATGTCCTTTAAGTTAGAGGACCAGTAGTGACCAACATATGTGCTTCAATTAAATACAATTTTCAGTAGACACAGATGTGTAACTATGACAACCTGCACTAAGTGTTATAACATGAAACGCAGCAAAGAAAAAAAAGTTCAGAATGTCCCATTTGCTTTTTTTTTT